GGGCGGCGGGTTCCTCACCCTCAGTGTGTAGCAGTGATATAAAGACCGTTAAGCCCGGAGCGGTTTGTGCCCAGTCTAAGCAGCTGTCAGCGCTCTGGGTTGCCAGCCCTCTCCTCAGCAGAGATGAGCAAAATGGCAAAAGTCGCTTCCGCATTTTAATCTCTGGTCATTTTATCTGTCAGGCCCCCTGTGACAGGTTACCGAGGCTTTCCTGAGAACGTTTATTTCAACAGTTCATCCGTTGGCATGAAGTTTAGATAATGATTATAATTTGTGCTCTCATAAGCGTTATACAGAAATTTATTATACATAGCAATAATTAGTTTGGAGCCAGACCTGAGCTGGCGCGGGCCGTTTCAGCGGAGGAAGGCAGGCGGGCGTTGGTGTGTCTGCGTGCCTGGAGACGCTCTCCTCCGCAGCGCCGGGGAGCAGGCTGCAGGGCCGTATGCCGTGCCGTAACAGCGGGTAGTTGGTGCTGAGTTTTATAAAATACTCGAGGCGATGGTCTTAATAAAGGACTTGCTGCTTTCTGCAATTTGCCAGCTTTTCCTGTGCACTTTCCAGTGCTTTTCAGATGCTGTCATACCCTGACAGCTTCACAGTCCTGTGTTTAGAAAATAAAAACCAGGCTGCATTCTTGACAAACGACTCCTGTGTGCAGTAGAGAGAGAGAAGAAAGGCCCGGCTGGGTAGCACAAACACCAAATTCGTCTGAGTGGCACTGCTGGCTTCATTTAAGTTTGTCACATAAATGTTAGGTGGAGATCTGCATTTGGAGGAGTAAGATAGCTTTTGAAGTTGGCTTATACGTCAACTGCATTTAGTGCTTCGGAGTTTTATGGGTTTGCATTATGACATGAAGCGCGCTGACAGCATGTCCTGGAGCCACAGCGTAATAAAACTGGCTGTGTTGATCCGTGAACATATATCTAGCAGAACACTGAAGTCGTAATAAAGTTATATCACATCTGTGTTGATACTTGCAAATCAGTGCGAGGACGCTGTATTGAGCTTTTAATGTGCACAGTTTGGGGATAATTTTGAAAAACTGGAGAAACCAAGAAGAAGTATAGGCTGTAGGATTAGAAAACAGGCCTTTTCCTGAGAAATCCAAGTTATACAGCTTACCAAGGAGAGAATTTAGGGTCAGAACTTAGAAGTGAAGGTATGGAAGAGAGCTGGCTGAGGACTGGTGTTTGAGCTCGCACACTAGGATACAAGGTTCAGTAAGTAAGGATTTGACAAAGCCTTGGTTAAGTAGTTGCAGCAATTAATTGTCTTACCAATTAGAAAATCCTATTTGACTTTTTCCTAATCAGAAACAGAACTCTCTAGCAGTGGAAATGTCCTCACTCACTTAAGTGAATAACGAGGCTGGCTGGATCTTGGGGAAGCAAAGCAGCCGAGGCAGGACCTCAGGCGAGCGGAGCAGGAGGCTGGGCAGAGGACAGACAGGTAGTGCCACGGTCCAAGACAGACACTCGGAGAAGCAGTGGCGCTGGCTGCAGGGATCGCCGATTTGTGCCATCCCTCTCACTTTTGAAGAGTGGCACTGCACAGGTTTTAAGAAAACTTGTTCCCAGGCAATATCATCTTGGCAATCAGCAGCTATGTCAAGGGTGTCACCACAGGGCTCAGCATCAGCCCCTCTTTCTAGTGCCAGGTCGGCTGTGCTGGGGCAGGCAGAAGGGGAACTGCCTTTTCCTCAGACTCCTGCCCTAAATTCTGGCTGTTGGCAGCTGTCAGAGAGAGGATGTTGGGGCAGACAGACAGACCGACAGAGCTAAGCCGCTAACTTGTTGAATACCTCTTCTTAAACGTCTAACCCTGCACCAAAGCTTCATGCTCAGTGTTTGTCATCTCCAACCTCACAGGCGAGTACGACGGTGTCCCTAAGCCACGATCCCATGGCGATAAGCCCGTGATAACTCGTCCCCCCGTGAGACCTCCGGACCCACCGTGCAGGACCCCTGTGCCTCCGAGGCTGGAGCAGAGGCCGGATCTGATAGCAGGAACCGCAGAAGAGACACATTCCTCCGTGTAAGTCGGCAGGCGCGTGGCACGCGGGGTGGGCAGCTCGGCCCAGGGTGGCTGCTGGCACCTGGGGGCTTGGGGAGCGTGCGGGAGGACGGGGTGAGCCCAGGAGCAGGAGCTGGTGTTGCCTACCGGGAATTTTGGAAGCAGAGGAGGAGAAATGCCATGCTGGCTTCTGGCACCGGTGGCGTGCAATGGCAGGAGCCCACGGGCGTCCCTTCGACACCAGTGCGAGCGTGGGTCTGAACATCGCGTTGGGAAGCTGTGCCAGCCTGGGAGGGGAGCGTGGCCACAGCAAAGGCAAACACACGCGGGGAAAACAAAGCTCTGAACCTTCGCAGGCACAGCCCTGGGGCTGAGCTGTGCCCCATCCCCTTCTCTGCTGTTTCTCCGGTCAGTGCGATGGAGGGCCCCTCCCCGCCTGGCTCCGAGCGTGCCTCTCAAAGGAGACGCTTCCCAGGGAAGGACAAGATCCAGCTTGGATCTCTCTGGAGAGAATTCTGTGGAGTTCAGCTTTGTCATCCGATTTCATTCCGATTTTAACGAGCCAGAAACCCTGCTGGCTTCAATGGGAAATAAAAAAAGAGAAAAGGGTGAAAAAATACACGGGCACTCAGCCCAGCAGCCAGGACCGGCGGGTGGGGAGTCGTGAACTGAAGTGCCTCTGTCCGTGGCTCCACGCCGCCGCGGGTGCCCACCTCCGGCAGCGGTACGCTTGGTGGAGGAGCAGCTCCCACGCTGGCCCGGCGCTGGCCCTGCTCTCTGCGGAGAGCCCCAGTAAAGCCGCGCTGGGCAGCTGATCCACGCCCTGTATTTTCGCTCCTTAGTCCATCAAAGGTGCCGTGAGGCTCAGCACCACGCCTGCAGGGCAGGAGCAGGCCTCGCCTCTGCTCTCTGAATTACTTTTCTTTCTTTGAGGACAGTTGGAAGGTAAATATGGAGCGCATAAAAAGTGAAGGAGAGGCCATAAAAAGTGATGGCTGCAGGTTTATAAACCAGCATGTAGGAATATTAGATTAGATTTAGATTAGATATAAGGAAGAAATTCATCACTCTGAGGGCGGTGAGGCCCTGGCACAGGTTGCCCAGAGAAGCTGTGGCTGCCCCCTCCCTGGCAGGGGTTCAAGGCCAGCGGACGGGGCTTGGCGCAGCCTGGGCTGGTGGAAGGGGTCCCTGCGCATGGCAGGGGGTGTGGAACTGGATGATCTTCAAGGTCCCTTCCAACCCAAACCATTCTGTGATTCTGTGATCATGAGCAAGAGCATGGAAATAAGCAGTCTAGCTAAAAGCGACCGAGGGCCACCTGGCCAGGGCGATGTGAAGGCACAGGGGAGTGGAGCTGGCAGCACAAGCAGCGTGGCTGCTGCCTCGGCAGAAAAGATGCCATTTGAAGGTGATCGTCTTCAGTGTCTGCTAATGCTGCTGCTCTTTTCCCTGGCATGGATGAGATCTAATTAGCAAATTGCCTTACCGGGTAACTGGAGTGACCTCTCTTGTTCTCTGTGCAGGGTGGCCTCTAGGACAAAGTTCTTTGAGACAGCTTCCCGAAGGACAAGCAAGTAAGTGTGGCACTGGGAAGCTGGCGTGTCAATCAAAGCAGCCGCGCTGTGTCGGGTGCTCCCTCTGAGGCAGCGCGAGTCAGCTCAGGAAGCCCCAGCCCCAGCCTTTCTTGTCTCGTACTCCGGGCAGAAGATGGGTCTCAGCTAAAATGCTGGAACCAAACAAAGAGCACAAAGGGCGAAATGTAAATCCAGATACAGACTTGACAAGTCAAATGTAAATCTGTTAAGTAACAGACATATCTATGGATTCCTTTTATAATGCGTGTGGATCTAAGTCAGCGTAGTGCACGTTGTACTTACTTCTCAGCCTTTGCGAAGAGCAGAGATAAGATCATGGGAGAGAAGAGGAGGGCTGGTTAGATCGCAGCAGCTGATCAGAGGTGCGAGACCAGAGAGTGGATGGTCCTACACACAATGTATGTGCAGGCGTAGCTCCACCACGGCGAGGTACGGTGTGATGGAGTGACAGCTTGGGCGTGGAAGCCTTCGGGCTAGGCTGGGATGGCAGGGCTTTGAATTGCAAGCATTGCAGTTTGTTGCAGCGGATTTTGTTTGTAATAATACCTGCTCAAATAAGCTTCGGCTTCTCGCTTCACCAGCCTCTGCCAAAAGTGCGAGCAGTTTGCATGTAAGTCTAGTAAGTGTTGTCTGCTGGTGTTGACAGTGAGCTCACTTGTACTGAAAAACATATCCCTATCCCTGACCTGGCTGTTACCCAGCCCTCTATTTAGGTTTGTGGATCTGAGTTTGACCTTGCTTATTGCATTAATTTTTTTCTGTATTCTTCTACTTCCTTATACACAGTTCTTCATCACCACAAGGCAGGATCCCGGGTGATGAGAGCTGAGGCTAAAGGTACGTGATTATGACAATAAATCAAACAATAAACCAAAAGCACACATGTAACACAAAATCAGCATTTATGAGGTGGTGGGAGTCCAGTGGGGCCAATGGGAATCTCAAAGGAAAGATGAGGAGAAATGTCCTTCCTGTAGGAGACCCTTGCAGAAGGAAAGGTAATGGCTGGAGGTGGTCTGTGCTCTTCGTTGGGGGTAGCATGGCAGGGGGGAGAAAATCGGCCTGCTCTGCCCTTCTGAGCCTCCTGGCTGCAGCGCTCGGGGCACACGTGAGCGCTCTGCTAACGGCAGTGCCGAGATCTGCGCTTGCTCTGGTTGTGGTTTGGCCATCGCTGGTGGATTCGCGCTGCTGCATAGAGCATCCTTGTCTTCTTCTTCCAGACTTGGTAACCACCTCAGCCCAGCTAGACCCAGGAGATGTTCTGTGCTGGTGAAACGGACATGTCTCAGCTAAGACTTTTCCAGTTCCAGTGTCCCTGGAGAGCAGCTATCTTACCGGACGATAATTTCAGAGCGCACTGTCATAAGTTGCTTCAGAAATTAGAAGAGAGGGAGATAACGATGGAGAGAAGACCCTACCCAGACCTACGTGTTGAACTGTTCCCAGTCCTTCCGCCACTCCTCTCTGCGCAGGACGCTCCTGGGGCCCTGGCAGGTGACCGGCAGGGCTGGGTGAGCACTGGCAGGCTGCAAAGGGACGGTGGAGGATGGGAGCAGACGTTTGCCGGCTCACTTGTTGGGAGATGCGCCTTGGCAAGGGTGACCTTGGGCAGACGGCATCGAAACGCAAGGGGCTGACTCCCCGTGCTTGAACGCAGGGGTGGAGCGGCTGGAGTTCGCACTGGACCCCTTGCCGTGAGAAGCTCCTTCCTTTGTGTTGTGTTTTGCTCGCTCAGTAAGCTATAGTGTGTTTGTCAGTGTGTAGGAGAGCAGTGTGTGTTGCTGGAAACACTGCTTTTGCTGAGGCAGGACAGGAACTGGCTCTGCGGGACGTCTCTTCATCTCCTCCCTGGTGTCAGCGTGCCCCTGTCTGGGCAAACCGCGCCGGCAGACGTGGCTTTGCAGGGGGCTTTGCCTGAGTGGGGCCGCGTCCCCTGCCTGTGTGGGGGCTTTCCAGGCAGTGCCGGTCGGGTCAGCAGCGTCCGAGAGCAAGGCTGGGAGAAGGAGGTGGCGGGCGCTCCTCCTCCTCCTCCTCCTCAACTGAAACTCGCTGAGTGTGGGTCAAAGCCCACCATTTTTCTAAGAGGCCCCCAGTTTCTCGTTTGCTCATTACACTGATTTCCAGCCCAAGAGGTGTCCAGTCTGTTTTCTTCAGCAGCGGCTGTATAGATGATGCCCTTTGGTCTGGAAGGTTTCTCCTGGCCAGGACCACCCCTAGAACCCCTGCTAACAGTAGAGGAGTGTTCGTGGTTCCAGCTGGCACCAGGGCTCAGGTCCTGAGCCGCAGCATGTACCTGTAAATAGGCAATGAGCAGCTTCCCCGCTTCCCCTCCCAGCCGAGAGGCAGCTTCCCTGGTCTGAATGATTTTCCTCGGGTGCTGGGAGCATTCCCAAACCAGTGGCCAAACTGGTATCCCCGTTAGCTGCTTCCCAGGTGCTCCATCCTCCCCAGCCGCTTCGCGTCCTGCCGGCGCAGGTTTGCTGGTGGGCGCTGCCGCGGGGGCTGCCGCTTGCCGGGTGGG